CAGAATAGACACTACAGCACTTAACAACAATGCCCTAACTAATGGGAAAAAAATGTCTGTGTGTGAAATTAAAAAGCCAGCCTTATTTCTAAGGCTAACTAAGTTTCCTCTATGTGCTCTATTTCATCTACTAATATCCAGCAATATAAGTTTAAGGTATTTATTGAACATAATCATTTTCTTTTTCCTTTTTTGGATGAAAACTAGGAATAGAGATAAACACCTGACCAGGTTGATTGGTGGTGGTGGGGATGTATGCTACCGAGTCAGTTCCAACTCATAGCACCCCTATATAGGGTTTCTAAGACTTTAAAGCTTTACAGAAGCAGAAAGCTTCATCTTTCTTCTGTGGAGCAACTGGCAGATTTGAACTGCTGACCTTGTGGTTGGCAGTCTAGCTCATAATCCACTACACTACCAGGGATCCTTGACCAGACTGATTACAATGGTCAAAACATAAAATCAATTCTTTAAATCAGTTCAAGTGGTATGTATACAAATGAAATCAGACTAAGTCTACAGAAAAACTGGGTCCTGGTATAGCACTGTAGGATAAGATCTGAACAGCTAACAGCAAGGTCGGTGACTTAAACCCCATATAGGGTCACTGTAAGTCAGAACCGGCTTAACACACTTAAAAACAACATATATGCTCTCCCTCCTTAGCTCTTCAAACTGCCATGGTTTCTGTGGGAAAGGAACAAGGACTCAGAATCTCAGAACAGACTATTCTCTTAGCTGGTGCCTTATACGACTGTAACCACGTCCAACACTGCATTCCAAAGCAATGTGGCATATCACCATGTCTCTCATAGAATAGAGAGCCCAGGCTCTGCTGACAGTAAAGTCTGCAGTAAGGGATGGTGGAAGCAACTAAGAAAAGATGACAAGGGCAGAATAATTCATTTGGTGAACATATAATGGTGTCTTCGCTCATGTGAGAGCCTGTAGTTAAGTGGTGGCTTCTTTGCTAGTGATGTTGTGCAGACTGATCTGGATTTTGGTCTTAAGATTCATATAGTCATATTAATCCTGAAAACTCCCACTATACTCAAAACCACCAAAATTCCCCTCAAAAGTCTCTCCTCTAATAAGTTTTAACTATCAACAAAATCCAGCATCAAGTTATTTAGATGTTACACTTAAAAATGGATGTTCACTATCTCTATAGTTTAAAGTTGAACAATTGTGTTCCTCTTCCAAAATGCTAATGTATAACTATCTTACAGTTATTTTCGTATATTGAAGAAGGGCTTGTGAAGGAGACAGATAACTTACCTTGAGGTCTTTCGGGTTTCGAGGAAAATACTTCGGCTGTTTCTTGATTTTTGTGAAGTTGAACCTGATGCTGCAGTGGAATTTCTCCATTGGCCATTCGCACTCTGGCCAAAAGTTCTTAAATCACCTGAGCCAAGAAAACTGTCTGAGGAAGGATTGTCTAAAAGAAAAAAAGTTTGAATAAATTAAACAAACACCTAAAGCTGGTACCTCATATGACTGCAACCATGTCCAACACTGTATTCCAAAGTAACGTGGCATATCACCATGTCTCTCATAGAAGAAAGAGCCCCGTCTCCACTGCTAATAAAGTCTGCAATAAGGGAACTTCTACAAACTAGAATTGATTCAGCCATACTAACCTGAACATTGAAGAAGGAGCTGAAGCCTGCCACAGCCATGTGCCTTATCTGCATCAATGTGACTCCGTGGTGTCCACCAAAAGTCAACATTTTACCCCAACTATATCTTGCAAGCACTCCCAGGCCTGGGCCTGAAAGAAGGTAGGCCAGACCAGTAAGAAACCAGGTGGAGGGCCAAGGAGAATTTAATTCAAATGAACAACAGTTATTGCTTAATAAGCAGCTGGTGTCACTTTCTTTTTGTTAATACCACATTCATGACTTAGGGCTTTCTCTAAGAGAAGAGATAACCTAACTGCTGCTTATTCTGGTCAGCTTATGGCAGGAATGACCCATTTCATGCATCTGGTTCTGGTATGATAATCTTCAGTCATAATTATCAGATATATCGATACTTCGATGTTTATTATGGCAATCAGAGTAAGGACTTTATTATTTGAATCTTTTCATGTGATTATTTACAAGCTGAGGATACAAGAATCCCTTGAAGTTTCAGCTAGGAGTGGGGGGAAAAATATATACATATATATCTTCTTCTCCCCATTAGCAGTATCAATTTAAAATAGCTGCTTTATAACAGCTTAAGGCATATGTTATGAACTATGAGAAGCTTCCAATAATTCTCTATTTTCTGAACCTTTACTATAGAGATCATTTGAGAATCCTCTTCCAAAGCATGTCACCACAAAAATTTGCACAATATTGTGTATTTGTTATTTAATAGATTTAACATATCCTTTGATACTCAATCCAAAAAGTAAGGTAGCCTTCGCAAATGTTTTGCACTGTGTTTTCAAGTTGGTCAAAACATCAGGACTCCAGGACGGTAAGGTGGGAAATCAGCAAGCAGAGATGATGTTAGTAGCAGTTGATTCATCAATGGATGAACCCAGTCTAATAATTAAATTTACTTTTATAACTTTTTCTGTGTAATCAGTATCTGTGCTTAGCATCTAGTACTATTATTTTAAAGGCAGAGACATCAGGCTAATGAAACTAAGCTTCATTAAAGGATCAGAAAATTATTTTCTTTAAATGGAAAGTAATGACAATATAAATCTTTGTCTCACATTTTTTGGCTAAGATTTCATTAGGGAATCATCCATCCAACTAGAGATGTATTTTTGAGGAGCAAGTCTGCTAAGAAATCCCATTTACTCTGGCAGGTGTAAATCTGAGACTAAGAATAAGCCAGAATAACCTTAACAGAACTTGACAGAGGCTCCGTATACATTTAAAATGTAAGGACAAAGCATAAAATTAAGTTTAACCCAAATAAGCCAGTTCCATCGCCATTCAATTAAATCACTGAATAGTCTTCTACTGTTGATGTGACCAAGAAAAGCTACAAAGGGACACCAAGAGGGGCCTGCAGGTATTTTCTTAGTGAGTTTAGCCTGGAATTTTGTCATCACTAAGAAATCAGAATTACAGACGTCATAAATAAGATTACTTGTATTTGCTCCATGGGAGAAAGATGAGGCTTTCTACTCCCGTAAAGATTTACACCCTCGGAAACCTTGTACAGGGTCGCTATGGGTCGGAACCGACTCAACAGCACTTAACAACAACAACAACATACACAAAACTAGAAGGAAATAAACCAATAAATTATGCTCGTGGCTATTTTTCTACACACTTTCTACATGGAGTAGGCAATATTTTCATGGGCATAATAAACTTTATATTAAAAAAGAAAAGCATGTCAGGCAGTCAATTACTATGAAAGTAAACATCAGGTGCTCTTTTTAACTTTAGGATTATTGCTTTATATAATTTTTACCTACTAAGTGCCCATTTTTCAGCCTAACTTAACATATATTTCAAAGTTATGGCATTGATGGAGTCCTAGTGTGGTGCTATATAAGCATTGGACTGTATATTCACAAGGTTGGTAATTCAAGCTCACTAGCTGCTCCTTGGAAACCTTATGCCTCTTGCTATGAGTCAGAACCAACTCGATGGCACTTAACAACAACAACATGGCATTGATAATGATTCTAAGCATGAGCAAAATAATTTATTTTCATCTAAACTTACTTTTCTATTTAATAAACAAAAATTAATTTTGTTTTCATTGTGCTCTTAAGATCATAAAGCTTCACCATCACTGTTATTAAAACTGTTGCATTTTCTCTGCTTTTTAAAGAGCTTCTTAAAAATCAGTGCTTTTAATAGTCTAGCCTGAAATGGATTGAAAATCAGAATTTTAAAAATCTTGATGTAGAAAGGCAGTTCCAGTAAGTGGAAAGCGCTACACGATGTGTCTACAGTTTATGCGACATTCCTATGTTCATTTCCATTTTGGTGGAGAAAAAGGTAGCAGGGTGACAGGAGACAAACACCAATATAGTCAGAATCTGGAGACCAAAGCAGGAAAACTTAGGACCTACATCTAGCCCAGTCAAGAGGTAAGGCACAAGATGACTGTCCACTGAAACTAATTTGAGAATCAAATTGAGAACCATTAGAAAAGAATATATCCAATGGAGATAGCAGAGACAAAGTTCTGCAGGACTTGCAATGAACTGGACTGAATGTGGCAAAGGAAAAAAGTTTTTACAAAATACAATGTAATCAATGTCATGAATTACACAAATAGAAATTATTGAAATGATGTATCTTTTGCTATGTGCCTTTTCACTAAAAAAAGTAAGAAAAATTAAAAGTACATGTAAAAAGTAAGACTATCATTAAAGACTTTATTATAAGAAAGATATATACAGGCCCCTAACATACAGCACAGGAGCTTTGGTAACGTAGTGGTTACGAATCGGGCTGCGAACCGCAGGGTCAGCAGTTCGAAACTACCAGTTCAAACAACCAGAGTGCTCCTTGGAGGCCAAGCTGGCTAACTAAGCTTCGTCTCTCCTACTTTGGACACACTGTCCGGAGAGAACAGTCACTGGAGAAGGATGTCATGCTGGGTAAGGTGGAGGGTCAGAGAAAAAGAGGAAGAACCCCAACGAGATGGATCAGCCAGGTGGCATCACTGATGACGTCAAGTGTGGCAGCAGTAGTGAGGTTGTCCCAGGATTGGACACTGTTTCGTTCTGCTGTGCATGGGGTCGCTATGAGTCGGTTCCGACTCAATGGCACCTGACAACAACATACAGCACACTAAAGACCGAAGACCAGAAAAGTTGTGGGATGACATCAAAAACATCATACTCATGTAAGGCAGCAAAAAGTCATTGAGAAGACAAGAAAGAAGGAAAAGGTCAAAATGGCTGTCAGAAGAGACACTGAAACTTGCTCTCCAGTGTAGATATGCTAAAGCAAATGGAAAAAATGAGGAGGTCCAAGAGCTGAACAGAAAATTCCAAAGATCAGCTCAAGAAGATAAAGCCAAATATAACAATAAAATGTGCAAAGATTTAGAATCAGAAAACCAAAAAGAAGAACATGCTCAGCATTTCTCAAGCTGGGGGAACTGAAGAAAAAATTCAAGCCTCGACTTTCATTATTGAAAGATTCTCTGGGCAAATCACTGAATGATGCAGAAAGCATCAAGAGAAGATGGAAGGAATGCACAGAGTCACTGTACCAAAAGGAAATGGTTAATATTCAACCGTTTCAAGTAGATGCATATGATATCAAGAGCCAATGATACTTAGGGAGGAATTCCAAGGTGCATTGAAGGAAATGGCAAAGAACAAGACACCTGGAATTGATGAAATAAAAATTGAAATCTTTCAAGAAAGTGAGGCGGCACAGGAGGCACTCACTCATCTCTGCCAAGAAATTTGGAAGACAACTATCTGGCCGACTGATTGGAAGAGATGCATATTTGTGCCCATTCCAAAGAGAGGAACCCAACAGAATGGGGAAATCATTTGGCAATCTCTTTGACATCTCATGAGAGTAAAGTTTTACTAAAGGTAATACAGAAACAGCTACAATCATACACTGACAGAACTTCCAGAGGTTCAAGCCAGATTCAGAAGAGGCCATGGAACAAGGGATATCATTGCTAATGTCCAATGGATCTTGGCGAAAGCAGAGAATACCAGAAAGATGTTTACCTGTGCTTTATTGACTACGCAAAGGCTTTCGATTGTGTGGATCATGACAAGCTATGGACAACATTAAGAAGTATGAGTATTCCGGAACACTTAATTGTGCTCATGAGGAATCTGTACCTGGACCAAGAGTCTGTTGTTTGAACAGAACATGGGAACACTGAATGGTTTAAAATTAAGAAAGGTGTGCGACAAGGCTGTAGTCTTTCACCATACTTATTTAACCTGTATGCTGAGCAAATAATACGAGAAGCTGGGTTCTATGAAGAAAAACGTGGCATCAGGATTGGAGGAAGACTCATTAACAACCTGCAATATGCAGATGATACAACTTTGCTTGCTGAAAGTGAAGAGGACTTAAAACATTTACTGATGAAGATCAAAGACCACAGCCTTCAGTATGGATTATATATCAATGTAAACAAAACAAAAATCTTTACCACTGGACCAATAAACATTCTTATCAACGGAGAAAAGACTGAATTGTCAAGGACTTCATTCTTCTTGGATCAACTATCAACACTCACAGAAGCAGCAGTCAAGAGATTAAACGACGTATTGCATTAAGCAAATCTGCTACATAAGACCTTTTAAAAGTGTGGAAGAGCAAAGATGTCAGCTTGAGGACTAAGGTGTACCTGACCCAAGCCATAGTGTTTTCAATAACCTCATATGGATGTGAAAGCTGGACAGTGAATAAGGAACATCATAGAAGAATTGATGCCTTTGAGGTATGGTGTTGGAGGAGAATACTGAAAGTTCCATGGGCTGCCAAAAGAACCAATAGATCTGTTTTGGAAGAAGTGCATGCAGAGTGCTCCTTAGAGGCCAAGATGACCAAACTTCGTCTCTCATACTTTGGACATATTGTCAGGAGGGAGCAGTCGCTGGAGAGGGATATCATGTTTGGTAAGGCGGAGAGTCAGAGGAAAAGAGGACGACCCCCAATAAGACGGATTGGCCAAGTGACAGCATCGTGGCAACAGTAGTGAGGTTGGCCCAGGATCGGGTAGTGTTTCGTTCTGCTGTGCATAAGGTCCCTATGTGTCGGTACCGACTCTATGGCACCTAACAACAACAACAACAACATACAGCAATTTAAATTCTAGACTGTTAGAGAGTAATGCTGATCATGCCCAAATCTGAATTCTCTGCTAATAAACAGGCATCAATATGGCTTTATTCACAGCAATTATTCTCTACTCTTCATTGTGTATACAGTAATTATTATAAAATAATTTTCTTTTTCTAAGAAATACTGCTCAGAGGAAATAAAACTTAAGTGAAAGATTTTGATATAGTGAACAACTTGTAGTATGAGGATAAACACAGAAAAAATGTAACTCTCAAGAATTGTATCATTGAGTATAAAGTCAGGAATGCCATATTCCACAACATGAAGATTTGAGATGATCTACATATATCCTTTGTGACTATCAAGGAGCTACTGAAATTAAAAAGAAAAAGGATATACACATATTAACATGTTGTTATTGGTTAAGTGCTGTTGAGTTGGTTCTGATCCATAGTGACCCTGTATAGGGTTTCCAAGGAACGGCTGGTGAGCTTGAACTGCCAACCTTATTGTTCAAACTGACTTTGCAGTCCAATTCATTAACCTGCAGCACCACACCAGGACCCCACATATGTATGTATATATGAATGGTCTTAGCTCATATTCTCTATAACAGCTGTAAGTGATGGCAAAATAGCAGGGCAACCTAAACCATAAGGAGAATAATGAAGCAAACAAAGGCAATGTCCATTATCCCAAATCAGAAACCCTTGTGTTTTCTAATTTAAAATAATTAGGAATTTGGGAACGATATCCTGACTACTATGTAGCACTTCCTAGTGTAGAAGTAATCAAACAAAGTGATATTATGTGCAGTGATATTCATCTGTCTAAATATCCATTTAGACAGATAAATAAAGGCAAAATAAATAAAGAGCTTCATGTCAGTTCATGTATGTTTTGTCAAAAAATGAATTCAGGTCAGGTTAGGTTTTAATACCTAAATGAAATGAGAAAACATTTGTTTTCAAGGTTTTTATGGAATTCGAAATTATGTAAGAAATTGTGTATGCATATTTCAATTCCCCTGATTATTAAACATACACAGAAAACTATAAATACAGAGAATAGCATAAAACAGATAGGAATGCATGCATGTGCTGCATCATACAATGTATGCCATGTATGTACAGAAATGAAAATTCCAAGATGCCACAGGAGTTGAGTGAAGTAAGAACTGAGTCATAGTAAAGGGAGTTTGAGTGTAATTTTGTACATAATTATTAAGCAACTATTTTAAACTAAAAATATATATTCTATGCAATAGTAAATCAGTGTATGAGATTACTGACTTGCCACGGGAAATCAAAGTCTGAGTCCAACAGGAAATAATACTGATCTGATTCCATTACCCACTCAACTGCCCTTGCTCTAGAACTAATAATGAGCTTTCAAACCATATTTCTGACTCTCTGCTCATGTAAAAGTTTATTCAATGGTAGTTACTATCTGAGAAGAGTAACTTTTTTTATATACAAATTATACACATACTATGTGGAAGCTACTGCCCACCCAAGGATAGGGAATCCAGTGCCGAGGGTAGATAAAGTACCACCCACTTAAATGACATTTTAAGTATAATATAAATCTAAAAGAATATCATACTAACTTCTTTTTAGGGGAGGAGATCTCATCTTGTTGACAAAGAATCCTGAGGAAGCCAAATAACAATTAGAATTATTTGCATTTCATAGTTATCATCTCAATTTATCTTTGTAAAAATCCCAGTGGGCAGGTTTAATCCAATTACTAGTATTCTCATTTTGTGAGGCGACTGAAGCATGAGGAGTGAAAAAGATATGGGAAGACCTATGACTCTTTAAGGAACCCAAATATCGGTATTCTTCCTGAGTCATACTACCACAAAGTTAACCAAGAAAACTTTTTGTTTCTTGAGATAGAGGCAAAAAATCATCACGCAGGCCAGAGGACACGAAGAGTTGAGAGAATGCTGACTTCTGCCATCATGGACCACAAGTTGAATAGGCAAGCCCTGGAATATGCAAGCATGGCTGTGGCAGGTGCTAGACAGAAACATGTATCTAGCATGTTAACATTTCCTGCCCTAATGGAGGGACAAGCTTTGCTAGGAATAAAGTTTCAGGTTTAATGGTTTCAAGCAGAACAGAAATCGGTAAACCCTGTGTTTTAAATCAATGATATCACACACATTTTTCTTTCTTTTAAAAAGGCTACATTGCTTTCTTATAATGGTTTTTGTTTGAGACTAGATCAGCAAATTTTTTTTAACATATTCACAAGAAGCTTACTAAAATGATGTTTTAGTAGAGAAAGCACCATTTTGCTTTTGACCTAGAGATGACAAAGATAATTTGCTAGCAAGAATTTTGAAAGGTACAGTGCTTTGACTCCAAGTAACGTGTCTTACCTGAGTAATAATTCGGACTATAAGCTTCACTTCCTGTAGAACATGTAAACAATCGGTCCAAATTGCCTTGTGTGGAAGGTAAAATCTAAGCAAAACAGATTTTTCTTAAATCATATTTTAGAAAATAACATAGGAAACATATCATTAAACAAAATTATGATATATTTCAGAACTCAATATAATAAAATCATATAAACTATGTACTAATAAGAAAGGAAAACAATTGATTCAGGATTCAAGGGGGAAAACAGGTAAAATAATCTACCATGCAATACAATTTAAAAAGTGCTTGTTATAAAAATTAATGTATACTTAGTGTTTCCTGCTCTGAAAGTCACTTGTGACATGCAACAAACAGGATGAGAAAAATCAACCTGGTTTAGAGACAGTTTAACCAAGAAAGGTGCTATAGTCCTAGAACAAATCTGGAAATGTATGTCAACATATTTAGTTATCAAAATGATTACAGGATGTGAGTACTAGACATTAAGCGCCTAGAGGCCAGAGGCCGAGGATCCTACACATCTTGCTATGCCTGGAACAGATTCACACAGCAAAGAATTACTTGCAACCTTGCTACTGAGAAAGACAATTCTGTAATGGTGTTTTTCCAACTTTAATATGCATATACATCAGCTAGGGATATTGTTAAAATACAGATTTCAATTCAGAAGCCTGAGAGTATGCATTTCTAACAAGCTCCCAAGTAATCTCTATGTTGCTGATCCTAGACCACACTTTAAAAAAAATTAGACTTTGAACCCTAAGAAATCTCAGAGATGCTGGATATTTACACAAATTTCCTCCCATTTGGTGTGCAGCAATTTAAAGACACTGGAGTCCTGGTGTGGTGTTGTAGGAGGAACACTGGACTGCAAGGTCGATTTAAACCACAAGGTTAGTGGTTCAAACCCACCAGCCACTCCTCAGAAACCCTATACAGGGTCACTATGAGTCAGAACCTACTTAACAACAATATCAACTTTAAAAGAAAAGAGCCCTGGTGATACAGAACTTAAGCAATAGGGTCAGTAATTTGAACCCTTCAGTGGCAATCTGCTCCTGGAAAGAATTACAGCCTAGGAAACCCTATGGGACAGTTCTATTCTGTCACCTGGGGTCACTATGAGTCAGAATTAACTTGGCAGCACACAACAATAACAAGTTTAAAAGAATCCATTTGTGCATTGATAACTGTAGTATTCCGAGAAACCAGCAAGGGTTTTCTAGTGCATAGTGTTCTCAAAAGGAGCTCTGTTACTGTAGTGAGTTACAAGTTGGACTGCTAAACACAGGTTAGCAAGTCGAATCTACCAGCCGCTCCTTGGGAGAAAGATGAGGCTTTCTGCTACTTTATAGATTTGTTGTTGCTGTTGTTAAGTACTGTCAAGTCGCTTCTAACTCATAGTGACAACATATAGGGTTTCCAAGGAGCAGCTGGTAAGTTTGAACCGCTGACCTTGTGGTTCGCAGCCCAGTGCTAATCTTACAGGAGTCCTCAGAAACCCTACATGGTGTTGCTAAGAGTCGGACCCAACTCCATGGCACATAATCACTACCGTTGTTCTCAAAGAACTCTTACTTAGCCTGGCTCATGTCTTTATATATACAACAGAATTCTAAACACTAAAATTCTTGACTCTGATAAGCATACATATACGCTTGTACTTTTGAGCTGGAATTTAAACGCCATCAGATAAAAACATAAGATGTTGTTACTGTTAAGTGCCATAGAGTCAGTGCAGACTCATAGTGACCCCGTATAAGTCAATATAATTAATTAAGGGAAGAAAACAATTCCAAACCTGATGGTCAGAAAGGGAGAGCTGGTCCTCTGGTCGAGCTGTCTGTGGCTGGAGATGGGCTGTGACTGTGGAATTGTGAGTCACTAAAGCGACTTCCCCAGCATCCATCCTCATCCTGTCAGCAATATCATCTGGGGGAAGAGTACAAAACACTTCAAGTCAGAGAATTCTTCTATAACTTGTTTTCCTATGACTCAATCCTTTTACCTAACATGATCCCCAAAGAACTCTTCGGTCAAATAAAATCCCTCCCTTATAACTAAGCATTGGCAAGAAATGCCACTGCCAGATGCAGAAATGGGCTCACTGGGAATTGATTTGAGAGCAACGACTAAACACTTCAAAAGCTGTGAAAGTACTAAAACAGCTTAATTCAAAGTTTTTAAAAAATTGAAATTTTCCTGAAAGAAGTTTTAAGACACCTTAATAGTAGAAAACTTTTAAATACAAAAACATTGGAGGAAAAATACCACCACTCAGAAACAAATACTATTAACTTTGGCTTACTTCCTGTGTTAAATCAAAAGATGTTTTAAAAATTATTTCGCTTGAAGATTTTTTTCTAGATAATAATCATAAAGCATAATTTATTGATATAGTTCCTAAAACAGAATAGCTCAATCACTGTAATCTTACTTTATAATAGTTTTATGATACATCGATTACTATAAAAGAGATACAGTAAGAAAAAAATGAGTCAATGCAACTCAATGATTTACACTGACATCAGTAATGAGAGAAAATGGAAACAACCAGGAACAAAGAAAAGATAGACTAAGCAAAAAAACCCAAAAGCAAAGAGCAGGCAAATGCGATCTTAAAATTTAAGTTAAAAGATGACTATGGGATGTTAGAATAATGATTTTTCCATCTTTTCTCAAATTGACTACTAGTCCTGACCTTACATTGTTCCCTTTACAGATTATAAAGTATTATGAATGAAACAGTGAGAAATGTTCCAATCACAATAATTCTCAATGCTGTTACACAGAATTTGTAAATGATATTAATCAAATTAGTTATCATATAGGCAGTATACCAAAATATACAAGAATGCTGGAACACATTGCCTGGGTTCATATCCTGTCTCTTCCAGTTGTGGTTCTCTGACCCTAGTCAAGTTTCTTAATTTCTGTGTCTCAGTTTCCTTGGAAATAAAATAAGGATAGTAAATAGTACCTATTTTATAAGTACTTACAGATATCTTTGTGGGGAAGTTCTAAGAATTCAATGTGTGAGTATATTTTAAGTGTTTTCACTAGAGACTGACAATAGTAACGTTTGCTAGTGTAGAACTTCCTTTTTTATACAACAAATTAACAAAATACTTCTGAATGGCTCTATAAACAATGTCCCAACCAAAAGAAAAGCGTATTTAGTATACAGCATTAGGTAATTAGAATCAAGATCTCCCTTAAAAGTATTATCCAGTGAGAGCATGGCGAGAGAAAGCAGCTGAGGACTCTAAACTCACGTCAACAGAAAGGCTGTACTGGGAGTCAGATGCTGGGGGCCAGGGGACAGGCTTGCAAAATATGTCCTTTGGTTGTTTAAATGAGGTATATTCCTGAGAGTTTTTGTGTACATCCCCTCCCCCCCCAAAAAAAAAAATAAACAGAGGGAATAGTAAAAAAAAAAAAAAAAAGGAATTATTCAGCATAAAGATACAATATTGAAACTGTCAGAAAAACCCATACTTGAATCACAGCTTGACTAATCACAGAAACAGGAACAGGATTGAATGGCTACTTCATTGTTAGCCTTACCCATTGCAGGTCTTTTCACATCACTGACTTTAGCAAAATATGTCCTGTAAAAGAAAGAAAACAGAAACGTGACATACTGAAGTATCTCCCTCATACAATTACACAGCAGGAAGCCACTCATTTCTAGTACCTGTTTGTGGTCCTAAACCAAAAAAACCCAAACCCACTGCCATCAAGTCAATTCCAACTCACAGTGACCCTATCTATATAGCCTCATCTTTCTCCCTCAGAACAGCGAGTGGTTTGAATCACTGACCCCACGGTTAGCATCCCAATGCCTAACCAATAGTACTATTAAGCCTCCTTATTTGTGTTCTTGCTGTTATTAAATGCCGACTCATTACAACCCTATACTCATAGGGCTTCTGAGGAGTGGTTGGTGGGTTTAAATTGCCAACCTTCTGGTCAGCATTCCAGTGCTTATCCTTCAGTGCCACAAAAGAACTCCAATATGTTCTTGGTGGTGATGGTGGCATGCCATGGAGTTGGGTCAGACTCATAGTGACCCTGCACAGGGTTTCTGAGGCTGTAAATCTTCATGGGAGCAAGAACGCCTCATCTTTCTCCCGCGGAATGACTGGTAGTTCTGTGAGGTTAGCAGTCCAACTCATAATCACTAGGCCACCAGAGTTTCTTGGTGGAAAAAAATACAAAAAGAAGAGTTTGTTTGGTGGGAAAAGACTGAAAATCAAAACCAACCAGAGGTAGTTCCAAACATTTCTGCAACCTGTGCTACACAAAATAGCAATTCCAGACTATTTACAAAGTCACAAAATATTAAAGGGATAAGAGAATTTGGAGATTGAATCTTTGGGAAATTAAGTGACTTGTATAAGGTCATAAAGTTAGTAGTGACTGGGCTGGAAGTACAATCTAGAAATTCTCTCCAATCCATCGCTCTGCTAAACTATTTCATAAACAAGTGATACATCTTGTGTTGGTCCTATAAAGACTTGTTTTTCCCTACGTCTTACTCTGTGGCCAATTCTAAAACTGCTGAAATTCTGAAGACAATGAAGGAATACTTTATAGTTGTGGTGAGTATTTTCTCCATCATTAATTAAACTGCTACAAACCAAAGTCCTTATGCCTATATGAAATTACTTTCTCCTGTAATGCACCCACTTTTCCCAGAAAAATAAAATTAAAAGCCTATGTGCTTTGAAATAGGTTAATCAACATACTTTGGGCACACAAGCTTCTTGGCAGATTTCCAAGAGGAAGAAAATAGGGATGGCAACAGTCACTCACACACACACACACATTTTGAAAAAGATTGAGCACCTCATCAACTAGCTAGCAATACCAGAGTTTCAATCTATTCGAGACTGGATCATGATAACAGTCATTCTTTTTGGTCCCAATAACAAAATGCACAAAAAGCAAGGCTACATGAATTTTTCTGGCATAGCCACAAACTAAGCAGAGTAATTATCTGACTATCTAGCCTTGCCACAAAGCATACCCCAAGTCTTAGATTTAGGCTTCTAATATTATTTCCAATTTCATCAAAGGCTTCTATCTGGAAAATGTCCAAGATAGTCTTTCCCCTCTTTCTTTTCTAATCAAGCAGAGTTCCCTGTGTCCCAGATGTAAGAAAAAGAAAAATCTAATCAACAAATAAATTAACTGTGGCTATTCCACATTTCACTTGTACAGGTTACTCCTTAATTGTCATCTCTGGACTTTTTGTTACATTAATAAGAGTGCAAATTGAAAGCCTGCATTTTGTGGAGATGAAAGTGAAAAGGGAAGCAAACTAGAAATTCACAGAACTTTAAAGATTATGTTCAGAGGTTAAACAACTTGTCTGAAATGACACAGATGGGACAAATGGGTACAAGAATCCAGGTATCTTAACTCTCACACAGTGTACTTCCCACAAACATCACACACCTTCACATACACTCGCAAGATGGAAGCAATCCATAACTAGCCCTTGTTGGTGTTGTTTTGTGCCGTGGAGTCGGTTCCAACTCATAGTGACCCTGTACAGGGTTTCCGAGGCTGTAAATCTTTACACGAGCAGAAAGCCTCATCTTTCACCCGTGGAACAGCTGGTAGGTTTGAACTGCTGACCTTGCGGTTCACGGCCCAACCGGAACCACTAGGCTATAACTAGCCCTGGGGAATCCATATTAATTTCTATTTTAAATTATTAAAGCCCCACATGTATATTTTAATATAAACACCAAAGGGCTTCAAAAAGTTCAGGGGAAAATTCTATTTTCTTTTAATTCCATTGTTCCATCAATTTTTAGATGCCCCCTTGTACATCCAGCTTCTGGAGTGTGCTAATGATACTTTCTTTTTGTCAATTTGCAATTATATTGTGAAGAGGGACATTTTAGCTCAAGGTAACCTTTGGTGTCATCAATGAAAATATTTCACAATCTTGACAGTATCTGAGAAATGAATCAATGAATCCAAGTTTAAAAGATTCTGTCATTTCAATCTTCAATTTTCATTCATCATGTCCTATACCACAAATGTATTTTGCAAGAGTAAGACTTTTTTTTTCCTTTTGAGAAAAGTACTCTAATAATGCATTTTTTAGTACACAATGGTCACTTAACTTGCTGAATGAATATAAGCAGCTATAGGCATTTAGATGAAGTCAAGTTAGGTAATAGGGACTCTACAAAAACATGGCACAGTCCTGGCTGCAACAGAGTATGACAAGTCTGGTAAGACATTAATAAGTGGGCATACATTCTAATAAATAATTTTGAGAGATTGTTTGAGGTTATGATGAGGTTACATATTGAGGAAAATACATACTGTATATTATCCAGGACCAAGATGCGGTTAGGATCATTTCTGACTTGTGAAGGATGTGAAAATGATCATATGACTCACCCTGAGTGCTGGAAAAGCATTATGCATATGGCCCAGTTTCTACTATCCCATCATGTATTTGTTTTTCATGCTTTAAAATGTAACTACTCCCCATTAGACTCTAACATCTTCAATGTAAGGTTAAGTATTCAAGGTCTTTCCTGCAACAAGCCTTAGCTGTATGCCAAAGATTTGCTGAGTACTGAGTATAAAAAGATAAGACCTGCTCCCTGCTGCTGCAAAACTTCACTGGCTAGTGGGGAAGCCAGATCCACACACAGATACTTACAGTAAGACAATAAAGTCAGTGCAATTAGTAGAAAGTAAGGCTATCCAGGAAGGAGCTCTGCTACTGTAGTGGTTATGTGGTTATGAGTCAGGTTGCTAACCTCAAGGTCAGCAGTTTGAAACTACCAGCAGCTCCAAAGGAGAAAGATGAGGCTTTCTGATCCCTCAGAAAACCCACTTCACAGCACATAACCACTACCATCCACACCACCCAGGAGAAGGAAAAGAAGGACTTCAAAAGCCGTACTCAAGAGTTGCATCACCTCAGCTTGAAGTAGCAGAACCTGTATTCTTGCACTCCCTCTAGACTTAACTCATCAAATGAGTGACATCAGAACCAACCTCTCAGTCAGAATTCACTGCAATCAGGTAAAAATAACGAAGATTTTCAAGATAAAATGTAATGAGGCTTCCTGAAAAAAGGAAGGCAATCTCTAAACTGGAAAGATCAGGGATTATGCTTAAATTTTCACTATGAACTGTAATTTTGTTACCATATTTGTGTACCACATTTCAACATGAGTCAGTCCTTAACACAAATCATCTTTATGAAAAACAAAGATTTAGAAAATGTCGAGATCGATTCCATCCAGAATATACAACTGGAACAAAGACCCTAAATCAAATTCTTGGTAGCCTTTATTTAAAGGCTTTATATAAATTCTACAAGAATCACCACCCCCAAACAGCACAATAAAAAACATGAAGTGAAATGGCTTTTAACAAGGCTGCCTAGAAAATGATAAAAAGGGAAAGTTGTAGCCAACAAGATAGTGGAAATACTGCAGAGGCACCGATAAACAGAAATCACCAAGCTCAAGACAAGAGAAACTGGGCAGGCATCCAGAGTTCACATTAGGGTACACCAAGAAAGAAACAGTTGGAGGAAATTACCAGGAGGCGATGAGCCAGGTAAGCAAATGGGGCAGTAAAGGGGATTTTTAGAAACTGGACAGCAGAGTCCAGATGCCTCTTTCTGGCACTAGCGATATCACGTCTCAGGCGGATAGCACAGGTAAGACAGTCGAGGAAATGTTTACGTGAGATGCAGTAGTCGAGAAAGATTATTCAGGTCTCAAAGAAGTCGGGAGTTGAAGAAGGTGTGACAGGAAAGCTGAGCTTCCCGTCGAAAACAGGTCTTCACAGAAGCCCTACTCTGGCGGGAAACTCCCGGAACCCCAGGCGGCCTTTTTCCACAAGGAGGGTCGGGCGCCCAGATGGAGTGTGCGGTACCGGCGGGGCTTAGGGGAGGGCGGCGACCTCTCCGCAGTCCAGGAGAAAGAGGTCTGAAGGGACGGCCTCGGAAAGACTAACTAACTGCCGGCGGCCAAAGTGTGGCCGGCGAACAGGAGGGAGGGGGACGGTCCCAGGGGGGCGGGGCACAGGGAAAGGCGCCGGACCCACAGCTGTCTCCACTTCCGCCCAGTCCCGTCCAGGCCAGCAGACCCGGTCCGGCACTGTCTCCCGGCCCAGGCTCCCTCCATCCTTACCCCTCCCCCAGCTTCCCGCCGCCACTCACCGAACCGGAACCGGCTGCTATGCGAAGGTGTTTCCGGTCGGGCGCTGAACGCAAAACCCGGGAACCGCCACGAACCGGAAACGCCTCCACATCACCGGAAGAGTCACTCGGTGGTTGCAGAGGAGGGCAGAGTGGGACCAGAGGTCAAAGTGCAAAATTGAACGCCTGCGCGGTGTGGAGGGTGCTGAGAATTCCAGGGAACATCAAAGGCTGTAGTCATAATTTTCTTCATTTTCTTTTAATTTGGGATTTTGGCTACTTCGTTTTCGGAATACTGATAGTGCGCCATTTGTCCTGTGCATTTCTCTGTTCCCTCGGCCTCCGTACCCGCCGCAATCTGGTTCCGCACGGCGATTTTTGCTTACGCCTTGGTTTCCATGGTAGCTTTTCGCTTTGACTCTCCGTCGTCTTGAACCTATGACTTCCTGGACTGATGGGGAGACCTAAGAGCTAAATCGAGTCTCAGACTATACCCTGCTTTGTTGAAAATCACAGAACGTTAGTGCTTGTAGGGGTTATTGGAGATATTTTAGTTTTATAGGTTCAAAGAAGTGAAGTCATTAACCAAAGTTACAAAGTCCATGGCCAATCTGGGACTAGGAAAGCGTTTCCTAACTTGCAGTACAGTGTTCTGCACTACATCATGCTTAACTGACCATTCAGCCATTTGGGGTGGGGGAAAGCAGTTTGGTAAGGCTCAGGGAACTTATAGAAACTTCCAGAGAGGTATCAGGAAAGCATAGGGGACCCACCAAAACCAAATCCACTGCCATGGTGTTGATTCTAACTCACTGTGACTTGACAGAACAGAATGGAATTTCTTCATGGGGATTCCAAGTCAGCCGCTCCTTGGAAACCCTGTACAGGGTCACTATGAGTGGGAACCGACTCCCAATGCTTAACAACAAATCTTTATGAAGCAGCTGGTGGGGTCCAACCACCCATCCTATCAAGTGGTTAGCTGTCCAATACTTAGCAACTGTGCCACCAGAGTTCCTTAGGAGACCTGCCAAAGTTACACTTTCCTGGGAAGAAATAGAAAAGGACCCACTAGTCTGTGACCTATGAAGGATTAAATGATCCTCAGAAGAAATACTATTTGCTTATTCAAACTGTTTGTCAAATCATCCTCAATTTAACTGTCCTCTGGTCCCACACCCAGTCTAGCTATTTGGAAGCGATGCATCTGAGTAGTCACTCCAGACCCAGATGAGTTCAGAGTTGAATAAGAGAAGCCTTTGGTGGCCCACACAGATTTAAATATTCCAGCAGCTAGGAAAATAGGATGTCTGATGATTTCAGTCGTCTGTATAGAGTATCCTAGACTGTATATCATTGCAGAAGCAGAAAACTTCATCTTTCTCCTACAGAGCAGCTGGTGGGCTCGAACCGCTAACCTTGTTGTTTGCAGTTCAATGCTTATCCTACAGAACCACTGTGCTCTCATAAGCCCTAGTAGAATTGGACATTGCAGTTTTGTCAGCCTTAATCATTCTGTAGATCTGTTATCTGGATTAAATTCTGTCTCTGTTTTTAGGGAACAGCCATGCGTAAAGAGGAATTTCATCTGAAATTTTTCATGTGTATGATTCAGTCTCGTCGGTTAGTCAGGACACCTCAGCACTCAGGTATTAGTGTCTCTTGATCAGATCACAGTAACAGGGAATGGGTCCTCCTGCAGGAAGTCTCAATATAGCACTTGAAACTTACTAGTATTAGTATGGGTTTCAGGGGTCAATTGAGCATTCCCAGTATTAAAAAAATATTTGTCACCATGTCTTTTTCTTGTACAAGGTGAGCTTTTGGCCTACTTTGTGGGGCCATGCCCTAGGCAGATAGGGAAAGCCAAGGATTTGATTGGGAACAGGAAGTAACAGCCCATGAGTTTGATTTCTCTGCCCTTTTTGAATTGTTTCAATCTGCCTGGGATTCCTCTCTTGGAGCCCTTGTTGCCCTGTAATTGAAACTCAAAAATATGATAAGATAAATCAAGCTTTAAAGAAAAATGTGCCCTTCATCCCAGGCTCAGAGTATCTTGTATGGGCCCTGCATTTCCTCCATTTGTGTTGTAGCTGGAATAGCAGCTTTCTTAGATAAGATAGTTTTTTAGAAGCAGCCTCCTTTCTCTAATTTTTCACTGAATTTATGAAAATAAAGTCCTGGACAGTTGGGAGCCATAGGGAGAATGAAAGGGAGTAAGGAGCATTCTCCTCCCCGGATCCTACCTTGAGGGTGACCCACAGCTATTGTTTCCCAGCTGGGCAAGTGTCAAATTCCAGCATACCTATACAAAAGCCACCGCCAGAGACAGACATCTTGAAGAGTCTAGACACTATGGATGATCCTGACACCGTGGATGGCATACCTATTTTGAAAAATGGTGAGGCATGTGAGTAAATAAGGGAAAGAGTTTGGAAAAAAGTATTGCAAAGTAAAAAGTTGATGCATAGCTTTGTAAATTGGGGGGGTGGACATACCAAAGTTGAAGTGTGAGTTACATTGTAAAGAAAAAAGTGTATATGTGCATAAGAGGTCACCTGGGAACTGTTGAGAGGAATAATTCTCAGTGAAGAATAGCTTGATTTATTGTTGTTAGGTGCTGTTGAGTCAGTGTTGACTTATGGTGATCTTATGAACATCACAACAAAACACTACCCTGTCCTGGGCAAATCTCACAATTGTTGCTATGCTTGAGCCCAACCATCTCATTGGGAGTTGTCCTCTTTTTCGATGATGCTCCACTGTACCTAACATGATGTCCGTCTCCAGGTACTGGTCCCTGCGGATAGTATGCCCAAAGTATGAGGGACAAAATCTGGCCATATGAGGGACAAAATCTGGCCATCCTGGCTTCCAACAAGCCTACTGGCTGTACTTTTTCCAACACAGATTTGTTTGTTCTTCCAGCAGTGCATGATACTTACAATATTCTTCTCCAACACCATAACTCAAATGCATCAATTCTTCTATGGTCTTTTTTATTCATTGTCCAACTTTCATAAGCATATGAGGCTATTAAAAATACCTTGGTTTAGGTCAGGCGCACTGTAGTGCTCAAACCCACATCTTTACTCTTGAATATTTTAAAGAGGTCTTGTGTCTCAGATTTTCTTGACTGCTGCTTCCATGAGTGTTGATGGTTGATCTGAGCAAAATGAAGTCTTTAACAACTTCATTCTTTTCTCCATGTGTTTTACTGGTCCAGTTGAAGTTATTTATTGGTCCAGTTGAAGTCCTCTTTGCTTATAGCTGTATTTGTTGTTGTGTAGTTATGTGCCGTGGAGTCGGTTCCGACCCATAGCGACCCTGAACAGGGTTTCCGAGGCTGTAAATCTTTGCAGGAGCAGAACACCTCATCTTTCTCCCGCGGAGCAGCTAGTAGTTTCGAACTGCTGACCTTGCGGTTCACAGCCCAATTCGTAACCACTACACTACCAGAGCTCCTTCTCACTGTATTTAGTCAATACCAAACTAATGGCTTCCTAAGAACTATAAACTACTGAATTGGTTTATTCTACTGTCAGCAACCGTGATATATAAAAATGTTAAACTTTAAAAAGAGATTAGATTAATGAATTATATGTGGCACTGAAGGATAATGCACTGGACCACAAGGTCAGTTTGAGCCACAAGGTCTGTTCAAACTCACCCAGCCACTCCTTGGAAACCCTATACAGAGTTACTAAGAGTCAGAACTGACTCGACGGCACTTAACAACAACAACTATTTGTAAGGAGTCCTGGTGTGGCTCAGTGGGCTAATGCGTCAGACTGTAAAGTTGTTTGAATTGCAAGATTCAAACTCACCAGCTGCTCCTTGGAAACCCTATACAGGGTGGTTGTGGGTCGGAATTGACTTAACAACAGCAACGGCTATTTATAAAGCCATTTTGCTAGACTGAGTAGGAGGTGATAGAAGGATCTAGTTACTTTCTTGGTCCTTTAGGATCTTACAGTCAAGGATGGGATAATATGAAACTATGTGTAAATTAAAAACTTGATGACTTTGGTTTAAAAAGTTGAATTTTAAAAGAAGATGCCATAGAGAAGTCAGGACAGGAGGAGCTGGCTGACTGCTTTGGCAGAGCCTCACTGAGCTCCAGCATGGTGGCAAGGCATCACAGTCCAAGACCCAGTCCTATGCTTAAGTGTTGCTGCATAAACTCAAAGTTAACTCCGTCTTGCTAGAGTACCCAGAGTCAACCAGACTCACAAGAAAATTATGTATGCTAGTATTCTAATTTACTCAGCTATTGTAGCAATTTGTATCTTTATATATATGACAACACTGTGTAGTCTTTAATCAGACTGGCTTTGCCCATGCAAAAAAGAGGAACAAGAAGTAAATTCATGTGTTAGCTTTGTTCTATTTCAAGAATTTATACAGACTATTTCTTGTTTTCCTTTATGGTACCTGTTTTCCCCTATCCCATTTTACCCTATTCCTCAGACGTTGACTGCTCTAATGACCGTTTAGACTTGCTTCTCTGTTTTGAATTCAGTTATGCACAAAATTCTGATGTTCATAACTGGCTTCAAGCATATTATAATCAAGCTTTTCAAAACCAAAGACAAGGAGAAAATCCTGAGAGCAGCTCAGAAAAAAAACTAAACATTGCCTACAAAGGAGAACTAATACGACTAAGCTCTGATTTCTCACGCAGACAAGAAAACCATGGGATGACATATATAAAACCCTGAAAGAAAAAAATTATTTACCCAGCAGAATTGACCATCAAATATGATGGTGAAATTAGGACATTTCCAGATAAATAGAAATTAAAAGAATTTGCAAGAACCAGACCAAGCTTACCAAAAATATTAAATGGAGCTCTTTGGACAGAGAACCAACAACACCAGACAACAGCTTGAGATTAACATACATGACAAGATCATCCAGAACTCAGCCCAGATATAGAAATATGCAAAGTAAAACAAGACTGAAAATGGGTACAGGGCAGCTCAT